GAAGGCTTCGTTCTTCCTATTTCGACTCGAGATATAAATCTATTTCGCGTATTTTCTTTTTTTTTTTTTTTTTCTAGAATACCGTTGCAAGCTCCTCCTCGAAAGAAGAGCAGACCTATGTCGACAATGATGAACCAAAAATTGGGAAACGATCCGATGGAACTGTCCGGCGGGCAGAGCGCGACCTCCACCATAACGAGCGTAAACAGCATCAGCAGTTTGCTCAAGGAGAAACTTCAGTTGTCCATTCCACAAGCTCTGCGCAGCAGCAAGAAGAGGCAGAACGCCGATTATCGGTAAACATCGGATTTTTCGAAGCGTCGATTATAATCAATTTCTTAACCCATTATAATTGTTTTTCCAGCCTCCGCGCTTTCGTCGGGATATTGTTCCTCTGCGTCGTTTTCCTCGTAGGATTCGCGCATATCTATTACACTCAACACGTTCTCCAACGAGCCTATTTCGACAAATTTAGGTAAACACAATAACGCAACGTTCGATTCGAGTTTTTTAATCAACGAATAAAAGATCGAACATTTTTTCAGGTTCAATAAAAATCAACGAGTGATGCACGTGTACAGCGGGACAGGGGTCGAGGTGATATCGGCGCGACTTGGTGAAGGTATATCTGCCGACACGGGCGTTTTCCCTTGCCTCTCCCATTACCAGAAGGAGGACTCAGTTTGCCTGGAGTGGCTTCAGCAGGCACGCCTGTACCTGGCTCACACGAAACACCCGGACATGCACTGTTACCACGTCACCTGGCAGAGCCTGAGCTCCCACTACAACCCCAAAGATTGCTTCGATTGGTCACCGAAAAGGGGCCACTGGTACGGTGGTGGCCAAGTGCAAAATATGCCTTACCCGTTGGAGCGCGGCCGCCTCGATCTCAGCCCGTTCATCACCGGGGATATAACCAAACATCCGTTCGGGAACGTGCTCAAGAGATACTTCTTGAATTCGAAGGGGGCCACGATACTGGTCGACCCGAGCACGCCCCTCTACGTGTCCATCAGAGCGAACAGGAGCAATTACTTCTGTCTCGAGGCCAAGCACGACGCTTTCGCGTACATCAATTACCTCACGCCGTATCCTCAATTGAATTACACTATATGCGCCACGGACAACATGAAGAATTTGCACTCGTCCATGGCGGAGAAGTCTCTGTGGGATGGCCTCAAGCCGGACGAGCTAACCGCCGTTCATTCGCTGTTGACCGAACCGGTCTGGCAAATTTCGCCTACCAGCGAGGCAGCTGTATACAATTACACGGAGGACGTGATCGCTTTGCCTTTTCTGCGGCAAGGCCACGTTTTGCTGAGCGAGGAATGGCAGCCGAGCGCGGGCGATTTCGTCCTGGACGAGGAACGATTCCCCTCGATGGAAGAAACGATCAATATCATTCATCGTAGGGGATTTAGAATCGTGTTCACTATACAACCGTTCATATCCACTGAGTCCATCAATTTCAAGGACGCGGTATCGAGCAGGCTGTTGATCTCCGAGAGAGGGAGCGACCCAAGAATACCCGCTCTCACCAGGTAAAAGATTCCAAAGTTTCTGTATCGATTGATGGGGCGAAGACACGCAGAGAGCCACCTTCGATTTCAACGATTCTTGAAATACGTGTATAGATGGATTCTCTTTTGGTTTCAAGCTGACCAATATTTTCTTAAGTAAATTTTTCTCTTGAAAAAGTAGAAGAAATACGACGACACATTTCAAAGCCGTGAAATCAGAGGTGGGTTTTATTATTATCCGGCCGACACTCGAAACGAGCGATCCTTTCTTATACAGGTATAAGCAGAGTAACAGCATCGGCGTTCTTGACATTACGAACAACAAAACTCTTCCTTGGCTTCAGTCCAAGCTCGAAAGTTTGATCACCAAGTATCACGTGGACTCGTTCTACCTCGATTTGGGCACGGCTCAAGACATGCCTCACTACTACAAGTGCGGCCAGCCGTTGATCAACCCGGACCACTACAAGACGATATTCACAAAATCGATTTTGGGATCCGTGCCGGTGATTGGTGTCTCGGGCGCCATTTCCAGGCCCCGCGCCCCGGTCTTCGTCTCACTCCCTCCTTTCTCCTCCTCGTGGAAGGCCATCAAGACCGTTATACCGACGATCTTAACCTACGGTATACTCGGCTACCCGTTCATCATGCCGGGCGCGGTTGGCGGGGACGTGGCCCTTCCCATGTCCGACAACAATCCCGACAACGACTACGAGGTGAACCTGCCCGACAAAGAATTGTACATCAGATGGTTGCAACTGTCCACGTTTCTGCCGGTAATACGGTTCACCCATTTACCGAGCAAGTACTCGGACGACTCTGTGCTCGAGATAGCGAAGAGGTTGACGAGCCTGAGGCAGAAAACGGTGACGCCTTTGCTCAAGAAATACGCGAACGAGACACTGGACACTGGCCTGCCGATTATTCGACCGTTGTGGATGCTCGACCCGGCCGATCCGGCTTGCCTCGTCGTCTTCGATGAGTTTTCCGTGGGAGAGGAGCTCATAGTGGCGCCCATCCTCCACTCGGGCAGCAGGCAGAGGGAGATTTATTTGCCCGCCGGTGTTTGGAGGGATGGGATCGACGGTAGTCTGAGAAAGGGATCCAGATGGATCCACAATTACAGGGTCGCGGAGGACAAGGTCGCGTACTTCGTGAAAATACCGGACAACACGAGATTTTGAGAAATTGTTAGAAATCGTTACGTCGTTGCATTTTCTTTCTTTCTTTTTTTTTTTCTTTTTCTGTACATAGAAAATTTTCTAGAAACAACGAGAAAGGATCGTAGATACGGAAATACGAAGAGTTTTTTTTTTTTAAGAATGTTTTTTTAGAGGAAATCGGGACCAGAAAGATCGATATCAAGGATATCGATGCATTTTTTCATTTTCAGGACAGAGACTGTAGATGGGCGACGAAAATGTTAAAGAATTGTCGCCCTGAAAGTATTTATTCTTTATATATATATATATATATATATATATATATATATAATATAATATATATATATATTT